CTTTTGAATATGGAAAGTATCGACAGCCCAAGTTTTCCGGTTAGGGCCTCCGAGGGCAACGCGAAACACTAAACCTCAAACCCTAAACCCTAAACCTGAAACACTAAGCTGGCATCAGCAACTGGCGCTGGATGGGCCCTCGGAGCCCTCGCAGCTGTGGCCAGAATACGGGGTTTTTTTCTTTTTTTAGGGTTTAGGGTGTGGAGCCCTGAATATGCCCCAAAGCACCGTAAAGCTTATTACAGACATCCCCTAATAAGAATGTGTGCCTGATATTGCCTGATATTTTGGGAGACACCCAACTGCATTCAAGGCTTGGGGATTTAGGCCTTGAGGCTTAGGGGTTCTTGGACTCTGCGCCAGAAGCTGCTGGGGTTTAGGGTTTAGGGGTTAGGTTTAGAAACCACAAGAACCTGGAAGCATTGCACATTCTGTAGATCTGTCGAACACTAGCAGCCTCAGTCACAAGCCAACAACCAGCCCGCCGCACCCCAAATGCCCCACCCCTCAACACCCTCAACACCCCGAACACCCACCCCCCGCAAGCCAAAAAGCAACCCGACTCAAGTTGAATGAAGGGCTATGTGACGTGGGCCTTGTCCTGGGTAGGAGAAATGGATTTAGCATATAGAGCCCATAATCCTAAACACTACCCCATCAACCCTGATCCCAAAACTCTAAACCCTTAGGTTAGAGATAGAAGGATCCCCTTTAAGGGACGCTCCTCTTTATAACGTGGGGACCCTACATTTGAGCACGTAGGGACCCTCCTCGATAGACGCAAAAACCCCCTAAAACTCCCCAAGAGCATGTCGAATAGAGAACTTCAGGTCCACATGGCAGCGTATGCTGCCACGACCGAGCGAGCTCCTTTTCTCTGCACCTCTCCTCATGGAGAGGCTGGGGGTTTTTGCCTGGTTGTGGTGTTGCGTAGTGCTGTGCATGCGACACCGCCTTAACCCCAAAGCCTACACTCTCGTGAGGCTCTGAAACCTAAACCGTTGACCGTCGACCCGAGACATAAACCCTACAACAGTGAAGACTCGTGCCAAGCAGCCCTGTCCAGGGATGGCAGTCAGAAGCTCAGCTTCTTTGTCATCCTGACTTTCAGACCGGATTTCTGCGCTACCAGCGGCACTCCCTCCCAGCTTCCCCCCCGACCCTGGCTGACCTGCTTTATTGCTAGCCTTACCGGCGACGTCTTGGTCCTAAACCCTCAACCCTCTCTTTCATAGGTATGTTTAAACCTGACTGGGGGAAAAAACCTTGGCCATTGGCAAAAAACCATGGCCATTGGCAAAAAACACCGTGGCCATTGCCAATGTCCACAGTTGTTTTGCCAGTGGCCACGGTTATTTTGCCAACGGCCACGGTTAATGGCCAGCCAATGGCTACGGGCTGTTTTTTCAATGTCCCGGGTTGTTGGCCGAACTTGCCAATGGCCACGGTTTTTTTTTGCCAATGACCACGGTGTTTTTGCCAATGGCACGGGTTTTTGGCCGAACTTGCCGGTTTTTTTGCCAATGGCCACTTTTTTGCCCATCGCCATGGGTTTTTGGCCGAACTTGCCAACAGCCACGGATTTTGTGCCAAGGCCGCGGGGCCGAACTTGCCAATGACTGCGAGGTCCTTTTTTGGCCCCGCTCCCCCCCCCCCCTCCCCCCCCCCCCCCCCTCTCCCCCCCCTCTCCCCCCCCCCCTCGCCCCCGCCCTCCCCCCCCCCCCCCCCCCCCGGCCACCCCCCCCCCTTTTTGACGCAGCACCCCTTCCCGTTCCGTGAAAAAACCTCTTCTGGCCCAGACCCCCATTCTGGGCTCGAAACCCTAGGTTTGGGGCAGATGAGGATCAACACCCCAGCCCCTCCTCATTTTTTTCCGTTGGGTGGGGTTATTCAAAAACATGAGGTCAACAAATTTGTTCATTTTTGGTTCGTGCCCGGTGCGAGGGTAGGGGGGATAAGAAGAAAATGAGGTAAACGAAATTAGGTTTCTTTTTGGCAGTTCGTCTCCCGCAGGCCGATTGAAAGGGTGGGGTGGACCGCGTGAGGTTTCGGGACATGCTGATGAAGAATTTGTGTTTTTTAACGTTTTGGGATTCTCTGGGTGGGTTTGTTTTTTTCTTCAGTCGATACGGCGGCTTTACCAGAGATTGCTCGACCAAAAGCTGCTGAACCCTAAACTGCCCTAAACCCTAAACACTAACTGAACCCTAAGCCCTAATCCCTAAACCCTAAACCCTAAACCCTATAAACCCTATAAACCCTATAAACCCTATAAACCCTATAAACCCTATAAACCCTATAAACCCTATAAACCCTATAAACCCTATAAACCCTAAACCCTAAACCCGAAACCCTAAACCCGAAACCCTAAACCCTAAACCCTAAACCCTAAACCCCAAACCCTAAACCCTAAACCCTACACCCGAATCCCTACACCCTAAACCCTCAACCCCAAGCCTCTTCATCTTCTGCTGCAGACAAGTTCTTCTGGCCGTCCCAGGTCTGTAAAGCCCGACGAGGAGGGCTGAAGGCAACTGCATGGCCGAGTGTGCCTGTAGTCACACTGGCATCACGTTCCCATTGTCGTTTAACGGGACATCCAGCGAAGTAGAAGCAGTAGGAAGACCGCTCTAAAACTAAGTAGCCCCGCTTTGCAATAAGCAGGAGCAAGTACTACATAATCTTACAGGACCGGCGGGGGTTCATTCTTATCATTCTTATCAAGGTTTCGACTGGCTCCTGGGCTTTAGGATGTAGGCCGTTTCTGGCGACCGTTTTGTTTTGGGAGTGTTGGGTTAAATCTTGGGTTGGTTGGGTTTTAGCAAAAAGGGCTCGGGTTGCTGGCCCCAGCCCACAACCCTGAACTCCCACAATGAAAGCCCTTAAACTCCCAAATCCTTAAACCCCTTTATGCCCCGAAGCCTTGAACCCCGAAACCCTCAAAGCCCTATGCCCATAGCTGCTAAACCCCTGTTACATGCTGAAGAGCACAGGGTGGACCCAGAGTTTCTCTTCAATAGAAGAAGTCTGAGTTTCTTTTCAATAGAAGAAGTTCCTGTGAGAACATGCTGCTCAGGACGACTTGGATGAGCCGTCTCTTCCAGACGCGGGCGCTGCCGACCATGCCGAAAAGTTAAACTTGCGTCGGCCAGGGTTCAGGCTTGAATCGGGGTTCAAATGAAAGACTTGGTTTGATAGCGGCGGAGCAGTGCAAGTCTAGTGAGCCTGCGCCTGGAGTGATCTACTTACGCACGCAGGGGAGAACATGTCCAGAGATTTTCCGTGGTTTAAGGGGTGGTGTACTTGTTGTAAGTGCTGTCAGACTTTCTTGTTGGCAGGAAGAGCTGTGTTTGGTACTCGGAGCTACCCGTGGCTGGGATTCATGTGTGGTGGCATAGGCGCAAGTCCTTCTGCTTCTGCTGCTGGATTTTCAAGGTGGCGCCGACCATTTTTTGCATGACTTCACATCCGACTCCTCATTCAGAACAGGCGAAGTGGAAAACCCAAATGCCTGCCCATAGCTTGTCCTGCTTGGCCAAACTCAGCTTGCACTATGGCGTTTCCTCGCTGGTCTGGGAACTGCTGCTGCTCTGGCAGAGTCTGTACCTCAGATTCGGGCTTTGGGTTTCACGTCGGGGTTCAAGTTTTAGGGAGGGCATGTTCTCAGGAGCCCTGTTTAGGAAATGTGCTGTGCAGGTTGGCGGCTGGTCGACTTCAGGGTTGCCTTGCAACTTCCCTCTTCCGCATCGGAGTCACACCCTACACCCTAAGCCCTGAATAAAACCTAAGCAGCCTTGGAAGATCACCTGCTGCTGCTTCCCGAAGCAGCCTTCATGTTGCTGTGCTCAAAACATGTTTTCTGGCTTTCCGTAAGCCCTTTCCCTGATGTCGTTTGTGACAGCCACGACGTGAAAGGCTTGGCACCCTTCGCCTCGGCGTGCTGGAAACACAGAGACACGATGAACTCCACATTTCCCGGGTGATCTTGAAGCATTCCTAGACCCTGAACCCTACAATTTGCACCCTGAACCCAAAGGGGGGAAGGGGAAGGGGGAGGGGAGAGGGGGGAAGGAGGGGGTAGGGGAGGGGGGCGGGGGGGCAGAAAGGATGGGGGCCAAGGCACGAAGCAGTCGGGGGGGTGTTGTTTGTTTTTTCGTGCTGCCATCTTCGACAAAACTCCGCACACTGCATGTTGCAAGTGCTTGACTTTGGATTGGGGTTTGAGTATGAGTCCTCTGAGTTCCGCAGACCATGAGAGAGTCGATCCTCGGGCTTGAATCTTGGTAGAAGCGACGTGGGATCCTGTCCTCAGGTTTCTGGCACGGTGGGGCCGGTTGCGTAGTGCCGCTTTCACTTGTAGCATTCTGCAGCTTGACCGAGGCCAAAGAAGCCGAAGGAAAAACGACTGCACCGCCCGGTAGGCTGACATCGTGCGTGAGAGCGTGTGCAAAAGGACGTCGGTGCGCTTGGTGAACAGGGCTTCAAGGGTGTGCGTTTAGCTCCAAGGAACGGCAAGACTGAAGGCTGCATTCCTTTTCCCAGTAATGCAGCAGCCCAAGTGGGGGTTTAGAGAATAGGGGTACCTTATTGGGGTCCTGATTATACAGGGATCCTACTATTCGGGGGGCCTATATTAGGGGTCCTCTATGTTCGTAAACCCCCAAGTAGGTAATTTTCGTACCAATCTCATCCCCGCAGAATGCACTTTTGAACTATGGCGTCGGCTGCCCCAAGTATACGTAAACAACATCGCTCAAGTCGAAACTGTGGTACAAGGGCCCTAAGTGAGCTTGGCTGGCTTTACTGTTTAGGGTTACAGGCTAAAAGGGCTTCTAGGGCTTACAGGGCCTATAGGGCTCATGGGGCTGTATTGCTTAGAGGGCTTTATTGTTTAGGGTTGAGAGTTTGGTTAAGGAAGCTTGTGACCAGGACATCAGTCGATGCCTGTTGCAGTATTTCTTTGCTCAACAGCCTCGCCCGTGGAGTAGCTTTTCGGCAACATGGCTTCCTGCGGTGAGGAGTCAGGCGATCGGTGCAAACTAAGGGCTGCCGTTGCACTAAGTCCCATGTTTCTACTCGTGAGCCAGGCACCGGGTTCTTGACTTCGATGTTCGGACATGGTGCTGCCGAGACCGGACAATCTCACGAAGAGGCAGGCTGGGATACCAGCAAAGTTGAAAGTTGAAAGACTAGATGACCATGAATTGGAAACAAACAAAAATCTATATGCCGCACTTGCGGTGGTGGTCTCAACTTTCAGCTGCCTGTGCTTCTTTGTGCTTCAGCGAGTTCCCGAAAGCATAAACCTTGCATATTCTGCTTATTGAAACCTAAGCTCTAGCTTGCTTGTCCTTGTTCTCGACACCCTAAACCCTAAACCCTAAACCCTAAACCCTAAACCCTAAACCCTAAACCCTAAACCCTAAAACCTAAAACCTAAAACCTAAACCCTAAACCCTAAACCCTAAACCCTAAACGCTGCTGGAAGGTACTTGACGTCTCCGCTGGGGAGCCCACGGCGGTCGACGCCGGCGTCCTTGATCCCAGCGATGAGGAGGCCCTTCAGTTCTACGACGCAGAGGAGCTGAAGCTTCGACTCTTGGGCACAGTATGGTTCAGCATAAAATGTCGACCTCACGTGGTAGCAAGGGCGGCTGGGCTGTGTCTTTCAATGTCGGCGGGGTCGGAAATAGTTGAGGGATGCTGGGGTGCCCTTGCCGAGGAGTTGGAAATCTGCAGGTGGTGTCAGATGGCATTCAGGCGCTCAGCATGCGATGCAACGACATGCCGAAGGTCTGCCAGGATTTGCAGGTCGTGGAGAAGGACGTGCGCCAGGCTGCCAAGCACATGCGCAGCTTCGCAGACGAGGAGAGCCAAATTGTCAACATGGTGTGTTGGCAGAGCATCAACATGCTTGCTTCAGCACGGCAGCACTTGGTACTGCAGAGTTTGGTACGCAAGCATCCACAGAAACCGTCCCAAGCCCCCAGGTCCCCTGATCTCTGTGACTGGACTTCCACCCACAGCAGTGGCAGGAGTCGCAAAGGCCGTATGGAGACCTTCTGAAGATGATCGACGCGTCGGATCGCCACTTGGCGAACATGATGCTTTGACCCAGAGCTTTGTTGGCCTTCCCTTTGCCCTTCGTACTTGTTTGTCACCTTAAACCTTAATTATGCTGTGAAACTTTGAACCTGGACCTCTCAAATCCTAAATCATGGCTTCTTAGGCCCTAAACCCCAAGCCCTAAGCATCTCTCAACCCGAAACTCCCCGATGCTCTTTTCGTGGAGGCTGCTTGGCCGCTCCGTGGGATTAGGGGGTGAACGCAGCAAACCATTGCTACGAAAACTAGAGCCTAACCTGCAAGGCGGGTATACTGTCAAGGCCGGGTTGACAAATAATATGGTTTAGGGTTTAGGGTTTAGGGTTTAGGGTTTAGGGTTTAGGGTTTAGGGTTTAGGGTTTAGGGTTTAGGGTTTAGGGTTTAGGATCCTTTCTTGGGCTGCTATTGCTGAACTGGGCCCCTTAAACTCTCGAGACTCCCCATGTGTCCTGATTCGTGAACTCAAGGCGCGCCATCCATCTGTCTAAAGATGCGTCGGGCTGAGCAGGAGATTACATGCTCAGACTGACCTTGGACGGCTCGGCGTCCACTGGAAAGCATAAACATGTAAACATCCATAGCCTCACTCGTCATGTGCGTAGCACATTGTCGTAGCAAAATCTATCGAAGCCATCTCGGCCATTATCCAGCTGTGGTGGTTGCAAGTACTTAAACCCTGGATCCTAAACCCTGGACCCTAAACCCTAAACCCTCAACCCTCAACCCTAAACTCGAAAACCCTTGCATCAGGAAAGCGATTGGAACTGGTCCGCACTGCCCTGAAGGGGGGACACCTCTGCGGCTCCGGGCCTGAAATTCGGAGTTTGTACATGGGCGGACGTCAAAATGCCATGTATGTAAAATATGATGGAAGTGCGATATGAAGTTCCGCTCTTGCTGGTTTATGTCTTCGCCACAAGGCGGCACCATGCGTATATGCAGGTTTCAGGCTGTCCCCCATGTAGGCGCTAGGATAGCGCTAGCGTGACGCTAGGTATTCCTTTCCAAAGCTGACATGGTATGAGCTTGCGCAACATCAGCTCCAGTAGTTCCGAAGACGACGCCTGAGTCTAAAAAGAAGGTGCTTGTGTGTTTTGCGAGGATTTCGCAAAGGGTACACAATTAGTACTGTACTTCTGTACTTGCCGAAGCCACCGTTCCAGACCTTCGTTATCCTTCTCGTCATGAGGCGGCACCATGATTTTTTCAGCATCCGCCGTTCCCGGAAGAAGGAAAATTGACAGACTTCAAAGGGTCAGATGATGTTCCCCCTTATACTAACAGTCCTTGATGGGGAGTATAAGAGAGGGTACTATAATCCCTATTGAGGACTGTTAGTATAGGGGTGAACATCCCAAGTCAGGCGTTGCGTTGCCGGATGAGACTGTTTGGAACGATCCTTTCAGGTTAAGTTTGACTAATTGGTCAGACAGGGCGCTAGAAGAGAGTTCAAGTGATACTTGGTCTGAGGCAGAGCTGCTTCTGAGCTTGATTGCAGCGGTGCTCCAGTGTTCCATGTCTTGGCTTTCTCGATCCGAGGTGATTTGCTCCAAGCTGTCGCAGACCTCGAGAAGAGAAGCGATAGGATCTTTGATACTCAAGGCCCCATTGCTCATGTTCCAAGAGACCTGTTGCCGTGTCCACCCTGCCGCAAGGAAAAGGGTCTCAAGGCAGCAACGTCAAGTTCGACAGCAAGTTCATCGAGCCTGAAATCCAGAGGTTGGAAGATGTGTCCAAGGACCTTGTGGGTCCAAAAGGTTCGAAGAAGTGCGCGGCGCGAACAAAAGTAAGTGAAAGTGAGCCCTAAACCCTAATCCCGAAACCTAAAGCTGCACAAGGGAGTCCGAAGTCTCTCAACTTGCTCGTTGCGAGATCGCAGGATGGTAGTAACGGGTACAACCGCCCGCTGCCGTACTTGGCTATTCTGGGTATAACTTACGACGTGCCCTAAACCCTAAACCCTAAACCCTAAACCCTAAACCCTAAACCCTAAGCCCTAAACCCTAAACCCTAAACCCTAAACCCTAAACCCTAAACCCTAAACCCTAAACCCTAAACCCTAAACCCTAAACCTTGAAGGACCTTCGTAAGATCCGGGATGCGCTGTGCGAGAAGCCCGAGGAGACACACAGCAGCCAGCTCCTGGCTGCCATACAGGAGGCAACTAAAGGTTGTTGCAAGGGTCCCTCCTTTAGTCCGTTGGGGTTTAGGAGGTTTAGGGTTTACTGTTCAGGGTTTAGGGTTGAGGGTTGAGGGTTTAGGGTTTAGGGTTTTTGGGCCCCGAGATCCCAAACCCTGACCTTAAAGCGCTCTGAGTGGCGTGATGTCTTCAGTGCAGGTGAAGAACCAAATTTGGACCTCCGATGCCTTCGACAAGTCGAAGGCCGTGCTGCAGAAGTGTGGCGGCTGGCAAACTCAACGCAAGCAGCTGCAGCTGCAACGTGGCCAGGAGCAGGGACTTCTCTGGGTTGCTGAAGCCGAGCGAGATTGCTTCCGAGAGAGGCTGCAGCAAGCTACTGAGACCTGCCAGAGCATCGCCAGCACCCTTGCCACCAAGAGAGCAGAGCATGCAGAGCTACAGAAGTGCGAGAGCATTTCCAAAAGGGAGCTGCTGGCACACTACCAGGACAGACAAGGAGCCGTCGAGAGTGAGCTGCAGCAGCTGAAGAAAAGGAAGGAAGAGGAGGAAGCGCGAAGCAAGGGGCCCATAGAGGAATGCCAGAAGAAGACGATACAGCTACGAAGGGACTTGCTCAGCTTGGACGCTCTGAACATCAACCACATCATCATTGCAGTGGATGCCAGCTACAGCATGAAAGGGCGTCGGTGGAAGCATTTGGTGAGGGCAGTTGAAAGATTCCAGAAAGCTTGCATCGCGCAAGGATCCCAGGACAAGGTGACCCTGATCCACTTCAATTCCACGGCTTCTCTCATGAGAAAGGTAAGCCCGATCACCACCGATCTTGCCGACGTGTTGTGGAAGCACAACCCCAGCGGCGGCACGGCTTTCGAGCCTGCTTGGCAAAAGATCCGCGAGAGCAGCCAGATGGAACCCAGCTTTGCTCGCCTTTTCGTCGTGTTCCTCACAGATGGCTTCGCAAACGACATCGAGAAGGCTGCCAAGGTGGCAGAGCAAGTCTTCGACGATGCAAGCCGGGCGGGACGGTCCATGTGTACCTTCGTTGTTCATGTGGATGATGACTGCTCCTCGGCCAGGTGTGGGAGTGTTTCCGAGCTCAGCGTGGATCTGCTCTCACCTCTGGTCAAGGCTGGGAATGGCGGTCGACCCTGCTTACAAGCTTGTGGGATGGAGTACCTGCTTCTCCAGGCTGTTCAGACGGATGGCCTTGTGGAGAACTTTGAGAGGCTGGCCAGCTTTGTGAACCTGGAGAAGTGCATTCTTGAAGCCCGGCTTGGCTTCACCACGGCGCAAGAGAGGGAACTCAAAGATAAGACCTTGAAGGAGCTACATGAGCTGGAGGAGGCCCATAAGAAGCAGGTCAACAGCCTGAGGCAGTACTCCAGGCAGGTGGAGAGCACCATGAAGACCGACCGTGGAACCATTGGGAATTTGTTTAAGCAAATGTTGAAGGACATGCAGACCGAGATCGACAGCCTTGAGAGTCGGCACAGGCAAGCTCAAGACAAGGTCTGTGAGCTCACAAAGACGGTACGAACACTTGAAGCCCAGCATCTGCACTTGCAGAAGAGCTTTGAGAGTTCCCAGGAAGAGCATGACAAGGAGATTGCCTCCTTGAAGGACATGAGCATGACTCAGCTCAAGGAGCTTGAGATGCTTTGCCAGGAGCAAAGCTACCTCGTGCGGCGGTTCGGGACCACGGATGTCTCGGCCATTTCCAAGCAGCTCCACGATTTGGACAGGCTTGAAGCGCACGTGGCGCGCGGGACCTTGCTGGAAGAGGAGCAGTCTGAGTTTTGCTAGGTTCGCCTGCGCAAAGTGACACCCACTCCGAGTCAGAACAGAAGGAGCATGCTCCAACAGTAGCTTGTAGATCAAGTCATCCCAAGCCCGAAGCCCATGGAGGACGTGTCCTGCATGGTGCACAGCATCGTCTTCTTTACCAACAGCCTCCAGCAGCAAATCAAGGAGCCGCTGCCTGGAGGCTTTCCAAAACAAACGCCGGTCCCCTGAACTACAGGTCTTTTGTGGGGGGTTTAGGGTTTAGGGTTTAGGGTTTAGGGTTTAGGGGTACCTATCGTAATCCGCAGCCTTGTATTTTGGGGGTTATTAGCCAAAAGGAGCAACTTAGAGGGCCGGCCATGTGCAGCTCTCTGAACGGGTTTCAAGCGAACATGTTCTCGGTTCCATGCTGCGCCCGGAGGCACGGCCAAGATCTCCAAGGCCAAGGTGGACCTGGGGAGAGAGGGTTTAGGGTTTAGGGTTTAGGGTTTAGGGTTTGGGGTTTGGGGTTTAGGGTTTGAGAGTCGGCATTTCCGCTTCTCTGTCCGCTCACTGAAAAGGCTAGGGTGCGCAGCCTCGCGGTGGCCTTTGCCCAGTATCCGAATGCTTGCTTTCATATGCTTCCAACTTCTCATGAATGTGCAGGTGGTTCTGAAGAAGCTCTTGGAGGAGCGAGAGAGGAAGCACACGGGACGGACGGAGGAAGACTGGCCAGCATTCCTGGCCTACGAAGCAGAGATGCAGAAGTTCAGTATCGATGAAGTTTGTGAGCCTGTCCGCCAAGCTGGAATCACCGCTGAGCGCGTCTGCGAGGTCGTAGACCTCACAGAACAAAAGGACATCAGCAAGATGAAGGACAAGTTGATTGAAAGCGTTCTTGTGAAGGCCTGCAAGGTGAAGGAGTGCGACACCGAGGAGATGGAGGAGGTAAAGGATGACGCAGCTAGGAGGCTGGAGCGCGCGAAAGATGAGCTGAGCAAGAAGAAGGACGACCTCAAAGACTGCAGGCGGGAGCTCAACGAACTCCGAAGGGAGTCCAGGCAGTCAGAGGAAGGCAAAAAGGAGTTTGAGGAGAAGGAGAAGCATTTCTTCCAGCTGCAGGAGTCGGTGAACATCCTCGCAGAGTCCGTGAAGACCTTAGAGGCAGAGAACAAGGACCTTGCCGCCGAAGAGAAGCGTGTCCTGGCGAGACATTGCAGTTCCCCCTGCAAGCCCAATACCACTAAGGGGTTTAGGGTTTAGGGCCTTTAGGGTTTAGGGTTTAGGGTTTAGGGTTTTGGGTTTTGGGTTTAGGGTAAGAGGAGTATACCTTAAGGGCATTGCGCATCCCGGGTCTTGTCATGTACAGGAGAATTGCCATTGAAGCAGCGCAGCGCCATCGCTTACCCTAGGCATGTATCGCGAGAGAATGTGAGAGACTTCCCGGACTACTATGACATGAGGAGCAATAAGAGCTCCCGCGGTTTTTTTGATTGGTAACTTACTCTAAGTTCCTGAACACCCGGCTTCCTGCTCAGGTATGCTGAAAGACCAGCAGGCAGGAGCCGAGTCAGGGGTGAGAGGGTGCCTCATTCGCCTTTAGGATCCTTCGTCGCTCCGAAACCCGACCCTGTAAACCCAGAACCTGCAAGCCTGGAGCAGTAGCAATGTTGAGTCGGTATCTACAGAGGTGTGTTCTACGAATTGCTTAAGAACCTCCCCCCTCCAAAAAAAAAAAGCAAACAAGCTTCTTCACAAGCCTAATGTAGCGGATTGTTCTGTTTTTGAAAATATTTTTGGGGGGTTCTTAGCTGCGTGGTAGACTGCCTGTACAGAAGGCACTTGAGTTCACCTTCCGGTTGGAAGCCCTCAAAGGCCCTCCCGGACCGATCTGGTCCAGCTCTCTTCAGGACCATGTGCCTTACATTTTGCAGCAAGAAGCTCTATTACCAAAACCCTAGAAGCCCTAACCCTAAACCCTAGAAACCCTAAACACCCTAAACCCTAAACCCTAAACCCTAAACCCTAAACCCTAAACCCTAAACCCTAAACCCTATTCCTTAATCAATGGGTTTTGGGGCTCCGTGGGGCTATGGGCAGTCGGGTCTTGCTGAGTCCTCGCCTTCCAAACTCTCAATTTCGATACCGCAGCCTAAGCCTAAGGCCTGAACCCGTAACTCTTAAGCCCTTAAACCCTAAACCCTTCAACCCTGAGCCCGTAAACCCTGAAACCTGAAATCCTAAACCCTTAAATCCTTCCGAAACCCTTAAACCCTAAACCCCTAAATCCTTAAACCCTAAACCCTAAACCCTTTAAAATCCTTCCTAAACCCTGAAACCCTAAACCCCTAAACCCTTAAACCCCAAAATCCTTCCTCCCTAAACCCTTAAACCCCTAAATCCTTAAACCCTTAAACCCTAAACCGTAAAAGGCACTTCGCAAGAAGCTGGAGCCTTGTTTTCGCATCGTGTGCTTGGCTGTGGACATCTGCCGCGAAGCCTTCTTGGAGGAGGTTGCCGAGGAGGACCGTCCGGCCATGCGACTCAGGTATAGTAACTTAGTAACCCTAAACCCTAACCCGAGAGGCGACAGGTCCCAGCGTCCGAAGCTTCATGTGTGGAGCTTGCAGGAGAAGGCTGCTTTGCGGTCTACCTTCGAATCGTTCAGAACCAATGTGTACCAGCCCATGCAGAATTTCATTAGCATGACTCGCCAAGTCAAAGGCGCCTTGGCATCAACAAATTTTGTTCAATCCATTTCCGTGTGCGCATCGTCTCAAGAGGCTGTTCCCAGTGCCCGCCCTTGCAACACATCACCTGTAGGGTCCGTAGTGAGACTGATGTGGGCTTGGCAATCCCAGTGCCTTCTGCAACTTGCCAGGCATCTTTGCCGAAACGCCCACTATTCAGCAGCTGGCGACGCCGAGCCGATCTACCGGACATCGGGGCATGATGACAATTCAAGATGCAGAGTGAGGCGGCAATCCGACGGACCTTCATGCAGTCCAGTGCAGTCTACGGCCTTAGGGCTACTGGTAGTAGTCCTCTAGGTTTTTTGTACAGTTCTGAAGTCAACCGAACGCTTCCAGAGATCTTGGCTAAAAACCCAAGCCCGGATCCGTTGATCTCATGATCTCATTATCGAGATACCCGTTCCAACGGCTCGCCCCTTCTTCATACTCTGTAAATTTATGTGTTTCCTCACCATTACAGTGCAGGACATTAGACTAGACATGATTTTGCGGGCAGAGCCTTCATATCAAGTTGCGCGTCGAAGTTTTTGCACGGCTTTTGTCTTCCAGCTGCAAGCGATGCTCTTGTGGCGATGAGTGTGCCAGCCAGATCAGTGACGGCCCACTGCACCTACAGCCCTGATGTACGATGAAAGACGTGCCGGTAAACAGCACACTGTATGTTTTGGCTACGTGTTCAGGGCCCTGGTGCGTTGAAAGATGTAAGTACTTGTTGAGTTTGAGAAGTGATTGTGGCAGCGTTGCAGTGGTGCGCGTCGGTGTGCAGAAAGATGTTGGCCGCTCCGATGCTTATGTAGCATATTATTGCCTGTGCAGGTCTTGACACTGTGGCTGTCGTACGGCCTGTCATGTCCGAAGCTATCGACGAGCAATCGCAAGAGCGCATGTGAAACAGAAACGACCCTCCATCTCTCTTTAGCCTGGGTCTCTCTTTAGCCTGGGTCTCGGGCGACTTTTTGGGTTCTATCTCTAAGAGGGAGGCTAACGTGCGTGCAACGTTTCGCGGGCTCCAAAAGCCCGCTAAGTCAATGGCTCGCTTTGTCTTCTTATCCGCCTAGTTGTCCGCCTCTTGCCTAGGGCTGTGGTGAACGGCATGCGCAGGCTCCTGGGCTTCCTAGACATCTTAACTTGCAGTCAGATGGGTAGGGTGTTGGGATTTGGGGCTTGACATGCTGTGACACAATGTGTTTGTATCAAGATGGTGCTGCAAGGTCCATACTAAACAGCCACTGAGGATGATTGACCAAAAGCAGCTCACCTACGAAAAGTGGGATTCTTGGGCGTAGGGGGTATTTTACTTGCAGGGTTTAGAGCTGCAAGGCTCCAGCGTAAGGGCCTCCTGAATCGGGAGAACCATTGTTGAGGGTTTCTCAATCCAAGTGCCTTGGATTCAGCAAGTCAGGGGTACCGGGCTCTCTGGGTTCAGACCTCAACAATGACCCGACTGGTAACCGAACTTCGCGAGCCCGCCGCGTCTCGCCGTTTCTGTTTTGAAGCTCCAAAGCTCAACACGTGACAGACCCACCCCCAACACTTCCTGGGGCCAGGAAGTGATCTGACAGCTGCGCCACGCGAGTTTAGGACCTGTGGCGACTGCATGTGCTTTGGGACTTAGGCTCAAGGCCTCGGGTTTGCGTAGTCAGCGCATGATGCAATGGAACTTCCGTAGATGGCATGTGCCGAATAAACAAACGTCTGCACTCGCCCAATAAAGCTCTAAAATGTGCCCGAACCCAAAATCTCAGGTCAACACAAACTGCTCCATATCCTCGCGATGGACCCCTCATTCTGACAACCCTGAATCTCGATGAATCTCGTCATGGAGAGCCTGCTGCCGTCCTGGGCAGGTGCGAAGCAGGGTGGGGATCGCAGTTGTCGCAGTGCAGGTTCTGCGAAGAATGTATGAACATGGATCATTCTTCGTAGAACTTGCTCAAATCGTGTGGCCTGAACCGCCTGAACCTACACGCATTTTTTTACATCCCACGAACTCCTCAGGTCCTGTTTGCTTCGCGCGGAGACTCCGGACAGAAGGGCGGCTGTCTCAGCGTTGGGCTCGGATCTAGGGTTTGGAGTTCAGTAAGTATGGGATTTAGGGTTTAGATGAGGCTTGAGGGTTTAGGGATGGTACGGGGTTTGGGGTTTTGGGCTTCGGGTAGGGGGTTCTGAGTCTACATGGATGACTCCTTCAATGGAGTCATAGCCAAAGTGCCTGTACAAGCCCTAAACCCATAGCCACCTTGAAAGACTACTACTCGTAGATACTCGTAGAGTGGTGCAGGTGGATGGTTGAGTGAGCGCTTTGAACAGTCGTAGATGTCGTTTAACGGTTTACAGTTTAGGGTCGTATTTTGTCATGGGATGCCCCACCCTACCCACCTTAATTGAATGAAATGCCCAAAACCTCTCCTCCACATGAAATTTTAAGTCCCTAAAGTCAGTCGGGGCATTGTGAGAAACTGCGTGGGCATTATGCAAGGAAAGCTCGTGGGCGTTGTGCAAACATTCGTGGGCACTTTCCGAAAATTCGTGGGAAAAACAGGGGCATTGTGAATAGTTTCGGGCATTGTGCAATGTTTCGGGCATTGTGCAAACCTTCGTCGGCGGCATTGTGCAAACCTTCGAGGGCATTGTGCAATGTTTTGATTGCATTGTGCACACAATTCGTGGACATTGTGTAAAAAATTCGTGGGCATTGTTCAAGATTTGGCCCTAATGGCCCTGCGGCCTTGCGTTCAAAGACATTGGGCCTAGGCTTTAGGGTTTTGGGTCTACTGGGCCTGAGGCTTCTCGGGTTTAGGGTTCCCGGGCGTTGGGCTTTAGGGTAGGGGGCTTACTGGGCCTTGAGTAAGATGAAAAGTGTTTGCGGGAGCCAATGGGCGGGCGAGGGGGCGGGGGGGGGGGAGGGGCGAATCTGTGCGTTAAGCGTCAAGCGTCCACTGGCGTCTGCCAGCGTCTGGAGCGCGTGCCCAAACTCGTGACTGTCGTCGCTTTAGAATGTTTTCAAGCTTGCCATCCTCGCAACTGTCGTCACTTTTAAAGCTTCGGCAAATTTGGTAGTTAGTTTCAAGTGCGAAAATGCTGGCAGTCACATGGTGATTGCCGGGGTCGCCATGATCGTGACTGCCATGTGCGTTTGCAGTTCAGGGATTGTCACGGCGGCGCGCTGGTAGGTAGCCCGAATGCGCAGTGGTGTCCAAACAGCTGCGAGGGTGCTTTGCGTACACTGGCAGGTCAAGCCATGCAGACAGCCAACCGGATGCTTGGCTGCTAAACAGTTGAGAAGGCTCATGGAGAAACCCACCGAGGGCTTAAGTGATTTCAGGGTGCTGGTGGGTAGTCTCCAATCTTGTGTAACTGATTAACATACACTTGAGATCCGAAGAAACGGAAACCAAAACATATAAGAACAACGAGAATTACACTAACAGCAAAAATAACAAATATGAATAAACCCAAGCTGACACGAGGAACAATTGAATAGGCATGATCGGAGCAAGCAAAGATCGAGTTTGCTGCAATATGCAATGACCAACTCGCGCAATTACATGTCAGGTGAGACGCCCTTGCTTACTGCCGAGCAAAGGGCACAGTGCCGGGCACAAGACCGACCAGGAGAGATGGCAGCCCATGGAAACTGCAGGATTAGTTCATCCGTTTTCTGGGTTGTCTACTTTCCGAGCACAGTGCCGAGTTGCGGACGGGTTTTAGTGTGCAGTGTAGTCCAACCGAGGGCTTCGTTGACAAAGCGCCACGCTGCTGGCCGGCTCAGCAAGCACAGCGAAGGCGTAGTCGGCAACAAAGAGGCTCCACGTAGACGGGAGGTCGTCCGAAGGCTCCAAGCGCAACATGCCGGGCACCACGCCTGTGTCCGCAAACGTCGTTGTGTTTGTTTCTCAGCACTCTGTAGATCAGTCCTTTGTGTGACACCTGAGTTTTAGATTGTGTGGCCATTGCTGCTCGGAGAGCAGCTTTCTTTGCTGTGACTTGCTGCATGTTATGGCTCGGCCTGCTTCCTCATTGATCCCAAAGCACGGCGTTCGCGTCGCCTGCGAAGGGGAAGGAGCAACAGGTCAGCATGTTCGACATGGCGACAACCGCAAGAAAGACAAAGTCTAAGACGTCAAAGGCGCAGTCAAAGGCTAAGTCGCACACAAGCCAGAGCTGGAGAAGAAGGTAAAAACCATTTCCAAGCCAGGCTGGTGAGTCCTTCTTGCCAGCACAGGGTGCCTGTGTAGCGGGAGCTTTTCTGCCAGTGCAGTATCCCATAGACCAGCTTGACAGTGAAAAGATATTGTTTTCGCCAGACTCCAGCTTTATAGGCTCAGGGTTTAGGGTTTAGGGTTTAGGGTTTAGGGATTGTCCAAAAGCCATAAGCCCCAGCAAGCGGTGGGTTCAAGCCTTCAGAACCAGAACTCTTGAAAGGAGGTAGGGGGCCATGTTGAGGAACCATGAGACTGGCCCTAGAAGGGTACTGCTTCCACAGGGTACACTAGGGAAAACGGATGCTGCCATGTTGACCAGACTTCACCTCCGATCATGTCAACCCTGCCTGAGGGAGTCGCCTGAGCTTGCAGAGCTCTGCATAGGTCTGCATAGGTCTTCGACATGCAGGACGTTCGCGCACATATGCTGGCATAGAATGGTCATGAAGCACCATGCCTTTTTCGAATAACCCCGTGCCCGCACGAGGAATTTTTGTCAAGCTCGCCCATGTTGTACAGCATGTTACGCTCCCGCAGCCGACACGACACGTGTCCACAGAGACGGCACGTCAGCTGAAAGCTGCGGCTTGCGAAAATCCTGGCGAAGCGGGTGAAGCAGTTGGAGACTGCAGGCACTGCTAAGCTGCTAAGCATCGGTGCCGAGAGCGGAGCCGACATCTGAAGGCCCGCTCCCAATCCTCACACTTCACCGCAGCAGTGCGAGGGCGCTGCTGGCTGTGATGATGGCAAAAAAATTGGCTCCGTGCAGGGGCGACGATTGTAGAGGAGACTGCTGCCGCACTGCCATTGTGACTGACGACTACTGACTAGGACCGCTGCCGCTGCAACTGCTGCTGCTACTGCTGCAGCTCCTGCTTCACCTACTGCCTTGTAGCTGCTACTTTCACTACTCCTACTTATGCCAGCTCCGCTGCTGATGCCAATGTATGTGGGGGACGCCGCAGCATCCTGTGCACGAGACGACAGCTTCCACCACCCAAAACGATTCCAGCAAAGA